AGAGAGAGAGAGAGAGAGAGAGAGAGAGAGAGAAAGAGACAGAGACAGAGACAGAGAGACAAAGAGACAGAGAGACAGAGAAAGGCAGAGAGAGATACCGAGAGAATGAAAAAAAGCAGGGCGACAGACGGACAGACATCATTTTTTTGTAAATTGAATTTTGAATCTGTTGACTTGCGTTGTTTTTATTCCAATTACTACACGACAGTGGCTGTGATCTGTATGCATTCTAAGCTGTTTTCAATTACATGTATCCCTTCTTACAAGTAACGCAATAGTATTTACTGTTAGTAAAGTACATATTCGTGATAACTATTAATTAATTGACGCGCCTGTACATAATAAATTTTAATATCATTTCTTTTACTGGGGCTCGATTAAGGTAGCGACAGGACAGTCATTTCAGCGCCAGTGGATCCTACTTAGCTGTTAAATGTACCTTTACAATATTATTATAATGCGAGGCATCGTGGTGACATCAGGCGTTCATCAACATAAGGAAATCAAAGAAATCAGCATTTTTGAGATAGGCCTGGATGGACAATTTTTTCTAATTTTCTTTTTTTTTCTTTCTTTCTTTTTTTTTGGCTCGACACCTTTTATGTCCATTAAAAAACTTTTTTTTTGGTGTCGATTTTACTTGAGAAAAAAAAGAACATTGATTAAAGTCACAAAAACGTACATTTTCAGTTTCCCAGGACTCTCAAACTATTGAAGTTACCATACTTTGGCCGCGATTTTCTCGCTAATTTAACCTCTGAAACCAGACAAATCGGTACTTTTTCAGATGATTCCAAAAACTCTACATGCGCAAAAATTGACGAGCGCCTGATACCACCACGTCGTAACGTATAATATTATGTGTTTGATTAGTTTAACCATAATTGTAAAAGGAAGTCATTAACGTGCCCTTGGGATTTACATTTTTAAAAAAAAGAAGGTTGATTTCTTCCATGTAAAGTCAATATTATAGTTCAGGGAGTTAGCTTTGCTACAAATTACACCTTGACATATTATTATTATTATTATTATTATTATTATTATTATTATTATT